TAGAACTTCAGACACAATTTTGTTACGATCAGGTGAGTCAGTAGCATCACTCTGGTTTTAGAAGAAGCATGTTTACCGGGGCACATGGAGGATGGTAGAATAATGTAGGCTTTTGATAGGGCATATAATCCAGATCCTAATTTTTTTTTTCCTGAATCTGCCTTGAACTGTGTTTCTTTTACTTATGCATCAACAAACACTCATAATTTTTCTCTTTTATCCAGGACAAGCTGTTACTTACTTCTCAGATGACCCCAACAAACAGAATGGAGCACTGATACATTGATGCATTAATGAATTATCAAGATGCCAATGTTTCCATTGCTATTTTTGGCCTTCTTCCTTTAAGTCTAAGTTGCTTTAAGTCACCAAAGAAAAAGAAACTGAGACAAGTCATCCATTGAAACAGAGGAGCTATTGAACCCATCTAGCTGGCTAGCGGGACTTTCAAATTCTTTAGGCTTAATCAAAGATGACATCTGCCGCTGACATTCTGCATTTCCAATTGCCCGGCCATGAGGCAGCCACTCTCCGCAGCATGAACCAGTTACGTTCAGAGGAACGCTTTTGTGATGTGACTATCCTTTCTGAAAGCCTTAAATTTAGGGGCCACCGAGTGGTGCTGGCTGCTTGTTCCCCATTTCTCAGAGACCAGTTCCTCCTAAACCCAGGTTCTGAGCTCCAGGTTTCTATCATGCATGGATCCAAAGTTGTGTCAGATCTTCTACTTTCTTGTTACACTGGGCTGCTGGAATTTCCCGTCAGGGAGATCGTCAACTACTTAACTGCTGCTAGTTATCTGCAGATGGAACATGTGGTGGAGAAGTGTCGCCAAGCCTTGTGTCAATTTATTGATCCTCAGATAGGCCTGCGGGATGCTAATATTACGAACAGAACCACACCCGTTCGAAATGCTTCATCTACAACAACATCAACAGGCCCAGGTCGTCCAGCTGATAATTCTAGATCTTTGAAACCAGAAGTTAAGATGGCAGATGACAGTGAAGAGGAAATGTTGATGATGGCAGAAGAGGAAGAAGATGATGAGGAGGAAGATGAATCAACCTCAAATATCTGCATTGTAAAACTGGAAACTGGTTCGAGTGATGGTGGAGGGGAAAAGGGACAGAGGTCTTGGGATAAAGAAGAGCAGAACTTGGCGGCACAGTCAGAGGAGGCTCTGGTCAACTCTACTGTAGAAGGTGGAGAAACAGGAGATGGAGCTATCCAACGAGGTGGTGTTATGAAGGCCATCTATAGCGATGAAATGGAAAGCGCAGAGGGGGTACTTATTATTCCAAGTAGCTATCATGAAGATGAAGAAGAGACTTTAGAAGGGGGCATGGGTGGCTGCCAAAGCAGTGTTGTGATTGAAGGATCTCCAAGAAATGCTTTGGGCGGATTGGCGTCACTGGGGTCAATGGTCTTAGGAGACTCACGGATAGGAATCAAACGGACTTTAAGATGCTGCAAGTGTGAGGAGACCTTTCAAGGGGTAGAGAAGCTTGTGTTCCACATGCGGGCTCAGCACTTTGTCTTCATGTGCCCACGCTGCGGGAAACAGTTCAACCACAGCAGCAACCTTAACCGCCACATGAATGTACACAGAGGGGTAAAATCTCACACCTGTAACATATGCGGCAAATGCTTCACGCAAAAATCAACGCTCCATGACCACCTAAACCTCCACAGCGGGGAGCGACCATACCGCTGTTCCTACTGTGACGTCAGGTTTGCCCACAAGCCTGCTATAAGACGCCATCTCAAGGAGCAGCATGGAAAGACCACAGCACAGAACATCATGGAAGCTGGTGTGGCCGAGATGAACCTCATGCTGGGATGTGGGACTGGATGAGAGGACATTACATGGACCTATGTAGGAAGCAAATCTGAGCTTTAAACAAGTTTTGTTCACTTTGTATTTGCACTAATCGACTGCTAGGTGTACCTTTTTTAGGCCTAGTGACTTTTTTCAACTTCTGTGACTGCCAGTTTCACATGTTTAGCTCTGTAGAATGGTTACAATGTTGTTTGACCAGGTTTGGCAGCTTCAGGCCCCTCAGCTTGTTTTGGTGAACTACAGGTTCTACCATGCATTGCCGGAAGCTTTTTTGGATCTGCCTTTGTCTATGTTACAAATTACCACTGCCATTTTGTTCTTCTGTAGCAATATTATTAGGAACATTAAAAGTGTATGTCCAGCCAAAACCTTTTTTAATTTTGAATAGAGTGGGGAATGATTAGATCCCCTGTTGGGTTTTACTGCTAGAAAGTTCTCTAGATCTCCTCCATTCCCTTCACTTGCTGTCGTGGTGGCAACAAATATACCAGACAGGAAGTGAGGGAAAATCTCCAGCTGCAACTCAAAGACACAATTAAAATGGCCTTGTTTTAGTAGTAGTAGAGAGTAGTTGTCACCGGCACAGCAAGTTAGAGGTCAAACAGAGCCTTGAATATGTTACAGGATTATCGGTGATCTGAGTGCTAGGTGGACAAAGATGCAGCCTGCAGTATCTATATCAAGAGAACAGGAACACACGTTGCTCACTTACTCATAACGAGTTTAATGTGTCAAACAGAAGAGGATCACCTTATACAAATAATTACTTTCTTTATAGTGGCAGCGCAGGCCTCATGGAGAAGCGCATCAATTTGTGTTAGAGCGTTACCATTACTAACCTAGAGGATACTGAACAGAGAAAGTGAATGTTAGAACAAACACAAACCTGAACAAAGATAGCATAAACCAAGTGTAACCTAGACAGCATAAACCAACCAAACTGTATCAAGAGGAGAATAGAAAACACATGCTGCTCACTTGCTCATTCTGAGTTTAAATTGGTTATAAAGCCTTGCAGTTTTTTTTCTTTAAAATAATAAGCATATCATACTTAGCTGCTCTGTGCAATGGTTTAGAACAGAGCAACCCCGATCCTCCTCTTCTCAGGTCCCCCCACCGATGCTTCTAGCCCCACAACTTTGCTGAGTGATCCCAGAGCAAGCAGCTTGCTCTGACGGCACTTGTGCATGCTTGCTCCCAAGCTGCCTATGTGTGTCTGTAACACAGAGCATGGCTCAGTTCTGCCCCCGTTCCCTCCACACTGGCTATGATTGACATCAGTGAGAGCCTATGCCGTTTCTCAGCTAATGATGAGAGAGAGTCCCAGGAGAGCCTTGGCTCTTATGTACTTTGCCGGATCGGGATCGGGCTCAGGTAAGTATTAGGGAGGGCTGTGGGGGGAGCTGTAACTGGAAGGTTTTTTTACCTTCATGCATAGAAGGTAAAAAACCTTTAGCCTATACAACCAGTTTAATGTGCGATTGTTGGTTGTTAGTCTCCTGAAGTCACACTACAAATCATTAGAGCTCCCTCTAGCTGCAGCCTAGTAATAGCATCACTGGGAGGTTTATTCATTTACTTGCTACAAATAGCAATAAAAACCTGCCAGGTATACTCATCATTTCATACTCTATCCAAAACAAAAAATAATTTTGGCTGGATTTTCACATTAATAAGAAAAAGAATGATGTGCACAGTGAAGCAACCCAAACTAACAATTCAGAATTCATCTTTTATTGATCTGAAGACTCCTGTAAAGTGCAATCTGATTGGACGTTATGGGTTGAGCATTATGAATATCTCCTTTGGTTTTGATACTACAACGCTAAAGCCCAACTTCAGCCTAGAGTGGAGACAATTTAGAGCCATTGTCAAGTTTTTATTTTTTTTGTCTGTGTTCCCAATTAGATATCTCTTCAAAGGGGGACACAAAAAAAACATATTTCTTGTGGAGCAAGAAAGGATTTGAATTTCTGACAATGCTTTTTTTAAAATTTTTATTTGTTTTGCTGCCTGTGCCTTCCTGTCATGGTGACAACTGATGTTCCCATTTCTTGTCCTGGGGTCACATGGACAGGATGTGAGGAAAAACTCCTTTTCGGAGTCAAGGACAGAAATAAAAACTTCACAATTTTTAACACTTCTCCACCCTCCTCCAAAACTAAATAAAACTTGTCTGGAGTTAGGCTTTAAATCAGTCTGTAAGCTTTTCTATTTAACAGTTCAGTGTGTGAGTGTTTTTTTAATTAATGACCTTGACATGTGAGCTTACTGTATAGTTTGTGTGTTTTAAATAAAAAAAAGACTGAACTTAAAGAAAAGATGTAGGCCTTTGGATAACATTTTCAGAAGGCATATGCTTGGTAAAGAATATACATTATATTCATTTTGCCTAAAGCTGTACTAAACAGATATAAAAGACGGAAATTGATGTAGCTCTGCAACCATTAAAGCGGAGTTCCACAGTATTTTGCAACCATGGCTGCATTTGTTGCAGATTCCTTCTGCCATTAATTTGTGGATATTGTAATTTTTTTTTGTTTAGTTTTAGTACCGTAAGAAAACGCTCCGCTTCCATCCTACCACACCGTGGTGAGGTACGTCATTTCCTTTCTCCCACTGGCTCCTGGGAAACCAGTGTCATCAATCCCAGGAGTTCATTGATTGACAGGTTGCCATCAATGGGGTGGGAACTTCTTCTGATCCTGACAACCTGCAATACACATAGTGTGCCGTGATTAGTTCCCATTGCACATGCGTGAGTTTGGGAGGTGCATGCTGAGTAGCCAACTGCACATAATCACAGAAGAAACCCCTAGCAGGCTTAAGATACCCACACTCTGAATGGCTGCTTACATGATCCAGGGGGTGCTGTAAGTAATGCTGGATTTTATATAAAGTGTTACTAAACCCACAACAGTATAATCAGTCTGTATATGCAGTAAAGCATGCTTGTTATACTCAAGGTGGAATCTAAGGGGTTAATCCTCTGCATTGTGTAAAAATGCCATTTGATCCTCCCTTCTCTGATCCTCCCCTTCTTCCAGTGTCCCCCTCTAATCTCCTGATAACACATATCAAGTGGAGACACTCTGCGCATGCTCACATGCTGGGAGAGTGCATGTGATCAGCATAGGGCCAATCAGCACTGTCCAGTCAGAGGTCAGGGGTTCTGCATCCTCCTAGAGCAGAAAGAAAACTCCTTCTACAAGCTTTCACCAGCGCTCTGCTGAACACTGGTAGAAATCACAAGACTGTTCTAACTGCTGAGGAGAAAAGGTATTTAGCAGTTTATATTTATTAAAATAATTGCATTTCCATGTTCTGTGTACTGTGGGAGAACAGATACAGTGAATGTAGGGTCCGGGGTTTAGTAACAGTTTCAAAATAGAAAGATTACAAATATACAGTATGCCGATTTAAAGTATAGTTGCAGCAACAATCGTGGCGGTGATTTTTTTTTTTTTTTTAATTACTAGATGACTGAAGCTCCACTTTAAGGGGGAACTAAACTGTATCTGAGCACAACAAACTGAAAACGCTATTTCATTCATTTTTAATATTCAAAGCAAACTTCCCCATCAATCCGTGTCTCCATGCTTTATTTTGTTGAAAAATAAGTTTGAAAAACACCCCCCGTAGCATTTCTAGCCACTTCCATCTTGAGTACGAGCAGATAATTCATGTAGCATTTACTTCCTGGAATCCGTCTGCCCATAGCTCAGGCATGCAGGAAAGAGAGTGTGCTTAGCTGAGCTGCCAATAGCATGTTCGGCAGTGACTCTTGTAGAGTCATCTGGGCAAGTTGCACTGTTGCGGGGTATGGGACTTGGGATCGTGTCTCTGTCTGGATGGCCTCGCAGATTGTAGACGGTCTATGCATGTACAGTAAGTGCGCCCCCTCATCATGTGTGACATCGCAAGTCGTTATTATGTGATGGATGGAGAATGAGTGATGGGGATATATAAGGGGAGTGTTTTCATTCTTGGGCTCCGTGTGGGACTATATACATGTGTTTCCCAGCAATGATGTTTCTGATTTTATTTTGAAGATAGGCTGTTCTTTCCAATATGAGTCATCATTCAATTTCTGGCAATGACTCTTGGGGAATGAGCTAGTTGAGATGCTCCTTGGGGGTGTTCAGCTGGAGCTCGTCTCTCTTCCAACAGCCTTCTGAATTGTGTCCAGTCCATACATGTGTAATACAAGTGCCCATGTCTCATGTATAGAGCACGTGATGGGGAAGGGTAAGGCCGTGTCATTCTTAGGCTCTGGTCTATGTTATCTATTATGGTCCATGTTATGTATTAAGATATTGTTTCCCCCTGTATGGGGATATTATCCTCTGGACACTCCTGACTAAGGATAAGTTACAGCTGGCTCCAGTCCTTCTGGTTATATTGGTAAGACAACTTTCAGGGTGTCTGTAGGTTATACTTATGGTATCTAGTTTACAAGCCCAACTTTGTCACATTTATGGATGTAGTAACTTTGTGGTACCCTTGATGTTATTAACATACTTAACTACCCTACTCTACATTATGAGCATTCTATAGATCAACTGGGAACCCTAAACCAATGATTCGGGGAGTATCTGATTGCCTTGGGGGTCAGGAAAAAATTTTTTCACTCTGGCACCAATCTGACCAAGGGGTTTTTTTTTTCCTGGATCATCTTAAAGGTCTTAAACGCATTACCTCTAAGGAGTCAGAGGATAAAAAGGACTGATCTCCAATGTTCTCTGAAGCCCAATGGTACCCTTGATGTTATTAACCTACTTAACTACCCTACTCTACATTATTAGCATTCTACAGATCAACTGGGAACCCTAAACCAATGATTCGAGGAGTATCTGATTGCCTTGGGGGTCAGGAAGAATTTTTTTCCACTCTGGCACCAATATGACCAAGGGGTTTTTTTTCCTGGATCATCTTAAAGGTCTGAAACGCATTACCTCTAAGGAGTCAGAGGATAAAAAGGACTGATCTCCAATGTTCTCTGAAGCCCAATGGTACCCTTGATGTTAACCTATGTAACTACCTCACTCTACATTATGAGCATTCTGCAGAACACCTGGGCGCCCTAGACCGATGATTCAGGGAAGATCACCTTAGGGGGACAGGAAGGAATTTTTTGCCCATTGGTGCCAATCTGACCATGGGTTTTTTCACCTTCCTGTGGATCATCTGAAGGTTCTGGGGTCTTAAAAGGCCTTGCCTTTGAGGAAATAGAGGATAAAAAGAACTGATCTCCAATGTTCTCTGCAGCGCAGTAATTACAGTATTCCAGGACTTTAGCAGGCCATAGACAAGTTGAAAAACAAACTAAATTCATGTCAATTGTCGAATCCTTCGTTTTTCAAATCATTAGTGTGCCAGCTGCAATAGGCGATTTCCCTGCCACAATTGAAAGTGGCTGATTGATGGCACAATCATATGAGCTATTTTAGTTTTTGGATTGACAGAACTTTTGATTTTGACTCGTCTATGACCTGCTTTTGTTGTGAATAGGATGACTATTCAAATTCGCAGACATGTAAAAAAAAAATACACCGGGGAATAATTTATTTGGAACTGAGTGACAGTTGGAAAGCAAGCTCACGCAAAGCGGTGATCCTGGCACACACTCTGAGAAACCTCCCATCCCATGGAAAAAAAAAGAAAAAACCTTCACCATAAAGTGCAAAGATGATAATTTGGGAGTGCCAAATTCATTTTACTTATTTTCCCCATATTGGCACTATATCCACTGAAGTATGCTATTAGTATTTTGCAGGGCAGAGTAGGGACTGGTCAGAGAGGATTACCTTGACATATACTGTATATATTCACTATATATATATATATATATATATATATATATATATACTCTATATTGATAGGAGTGACGGAGTTATATATGCACCATTGATAGGAGTGACGGAGTTATATATGCACTATTGATCAGAGTGACGGAGTTCTATATGCACCATTGATAGGAGTGACGGGGTTATATATGCACTATTGATAGGAGTGACGGAGTTATATGTGCACTATTGATAGGAGTGACGGAGTTATATGTGCACTATTGATAGGAGTGACGGAGTTATATGTGCACTATTGATAGGCGTGACGGAGTTATATGTGCACTATTGATAGGCGTGACGGAGTTATATGTGCACTATTGATAGGAGTGACGGAGTTATATGTGCACTATTGATAGGAGTGACGGAGTTATATGTGCACTATTGATAGGAGTGACGGAGTTATATGTGCACTATTGATAGGCGTGACGGAGTTATATGTGCACTATTGATAGGCGTGACGGAGTTATATGTTCACTATTGATAGGCGTGACGGAGTTATATGTGCACTATTGATAGGCGTGACGGAGTTATATGTGCACTATTGATCGGAGTGACGGAGTTATATGTGCACTATTGATCGGAGTGACGGAGTTATATGTGCACTATTGATAGGAGTGACGGAGTTATATGTGCACTATTGATAGGCGTGACGGAGTTATATGTGCACTATTGATAGGCGTGACGGAGTTATATGTTCACTATTGATAGGCGTGACGGAGTTATATGTGCACTATTGATAGGCGTGACGGAGTTATATGTGCACTATTGATCGGAGTGACGGAGTTATATGTGCACTATTGATCGGAGTGACGGAGTTATATGTGCACTATTGATCGGAGTGACGGAGTTATATGTGCACTATTGATCGGAGTGACGGAGTTATATGTGCACTATTGACCGGAGTGACGGAGTTCTGTGTGCACTATTGACAGGAGTGACGGAGTTCTGTGTGCACTATTGACCGGAGTGACGGAGTTATATGTGCACTATTGACAGGAGTGACGGAGTTCTATGTGCACTATTGACAGGAGTGACGAAGTTATATGTGCACTATTGACAGGAGTGACGAAGTTATATGTGCACTATTGACAGGAGTGACGGAGTTATATGTGCACTATTGATAGGAGTGACGCGTTATATGTGCACTATTGATAGGAGTGACGGAGTTATATATGCACTATTGATAGGAGTGACGGAGTTATATATGCACTATTGATAGGAGTGACCGAGTTATATGTGCACTATTGATAGGAGTGACGGAGTTATATATGCACTATTGATAGGAGTGACGGAGTTATATATGCACTTGCACTTTATTTTTCAGGCACATCATTTTGCAGTTGTCACTTTATACTGTAGAGGCACTTTATGCCATTTTTTTGCACAAAAAATGCCAAGGCACCTGACATTTTAGGTTTATAACACTTTACAAAGCGCTGAGCAAACTGTTGACGCTATATAAATCCTGAATAATAATAATAATAATAAATATGGTGTAGTAGGGTAGATAGCTGTATAAAATGAGTGTTTCCTCTGGGGAACAAATTGATTAGAAAATGCTCATGCACCTGACATCATGCATTTAGTTTGACAACATTATATAGTGCAGTCTAGTTTTTTTATGTGTTTGAAGCTAAAATATTTTCAACCAGATAGCTGCTGTATTTTTGTAATTTGGACCGTTTTCCGTGGCGTGCCTCTAGAGTCTAGATAGATGATTTGCAATAAGAACAAAAGGCCCAAGCCCTCCCCACTATTGTCAGGGACAAGACTTCCCACCAAGCAGCAGGCCGTCTCTGCCCTCCCTCATGTTAACTCTCGCTTTTATTCACTATACCAGGGGTCACAGAACTTTCTAAGCAAAGGGCCAGTTTACCGTCTTTCAGACTTTGGGGGGGCCGGACTGTGGCCAGTGGGAGTAGAAATTGTCCTGGTATCAGTGGAAGGAAACAATGCTTCTTTGGTATAAGGGGAGGAAAAGCACCATCATTGGTGTCGGTGGGAGGAATAGTGCCCCATCCTTGGAGTCAGTTGGAGGAATAGTTCCCATTGTTGGTGTCAATGGGAGAAATAGTTCCCCATCGTTGGTGTCAGTGGGAGGAATAGTGCCCCATCATTGGTGTCGGTGGGAGGAATAGTGCCCCATCATCAGTGTCAATAGAAGGAATAGTGTCCCATCGTTGGAGTCAGTTGGAGGAATAGTTCCCCATTGTTGGTGTCAATGGGAGAAATAGTTCCCCATTGTTGGTGTCGGTGGGAGGAATAATGCCCCATCATCGGTGTCAATAGGAGGAATAGTGTCCCATCGTTGGAGTCAGTTGGAGGAATAGTTCCCCATTGTTGGTGTCAATGGGAGAAATAGTTCCCCATTGTTGGTGTCGGTGGGAGGAATAGTGCCCCATCATTGGTGTTGGTGGGAGGAATAGTGTCCCATCATTGGTGTCGGTGGGAGAAATAGTGCCCCATCATTGGTGTCGGTGGGAGAAATAGTGCCCCATCATTGGTGTCGGTGGGAGAAATAGT